GGGGGGGGGCGCTCGCTCGTCCCCCCCCCCCCTTTTCTGACCTGCCGGGCTGCATGCTCGGATAAGGGTCTGGTATGGATATTGAGGGGGACCCACGCTGTTTTTTTTTTAAATTTCAGCGTGGAGTTCCCCCTTAATATCCATACCAGACCTGAAGGGCTTGGTAAGGATGAGAGGGGGGACCCACGCTGTTTTTTTTTTTTTTTTTTTTATTGCGGACCTTTATTTTTACATTTAGCTGTCAAAATAAATATTATCTAGACCTTTGAAATAAGTAAAATCATTACAGAAATAATTATAAAGGATAAGAAACAAAAATAGAATCACTAGAACTAAGGAAATCTAGTTAGATTACATGAAGATATGCCGAGTGCTGTTTATTAAACACAGTAGTCACGACACGACCGAGTGCCGGCTGTCAGAGGAATCCACAGTAAGATTCACTATTAGGCAGTGGTTAAAAAACAAACACCCATGGCAGAAGTCTAAAATGTGTTCTGCACATGCTCAGTTCTATCTGCCAGAGACACTGCACGGGCGTCTAGATTTTTACTGTGTTGATTTCCTTGAAAAAAACGATTTTTAACACATTCTTAATTTTTTTGGAAATAGCAGATATTGTTTAAAGTGAAGTCCTGATATTGTGTTATTACCATTGATAATCCATTTCTATGCTTACTTTGTTACCAACCATATCAGGTGACAATAGATTAAGTATGCCTTTACTAACTGGTTCAATGCCTGTTTTCTTTGATGTAGTACTACTACTGGGTACTAAATATCATTTTCAGGGATTTTCTGTGATATTGCATGCTTTGTACAGTCAACTTAGTGTGTAAGGGGGGCTGCAGTTCATAAAGAGGTTGAGGCATAAAACAGAGGAAGCACTGTAATCAGCAGCTCCTACAGAGGTAGCCCTACAGATGGATCGCAATTTCGCCAGTCCCTGTTGAACTGATCACACTAAATTTGTTGAGAAATTATTGCAATTGGTCATGATACCTTATCCTAAAAAAATATAAAAAAAGGTAAAATATTTTTTGACCACCTCAAGAGCAGATACCTTTACATCCTTTCTGCCCAGGCCATTTTTCAGCTTTCAGTGCTGTCACGCTTTGAGTCACAATTACTTATGCAACATTGTATCCAAATGACATTTTTATAATTTTTGAGACAGATAGAGCTTTTTTTTGGTGTATTTAAAGCGATACAAAAACACACACTGTTTAATTTACATTATCCCTTTTCTTTCTGTATGTGGATGATGGCACTGTAGTTATTTTATTTAAAAAGAAGCATCTAAGTACTCTTTTTATAATTGATATACAGCTGTCACATGACCTAGCTCTTTCCCAGCCTGTCTGTAGGGAAACAGTGGCTGGAGGAGCTTCTAGTTCTCTGCTGCTGATCACGTTCAAAATAAAAAATAGCCTTTGGGATACAGAGTAAAAATAAATCATTAATATCAATAAACTGTTTTAAATCATTATACAGATATATATATGTGAAATCAAATTTTTATTATTTTTGGCAATAATATGGTGTGGGTGGATTTCTGCCAGTCACAGTCGGTGTCACGCCTCTCCAGCCTGTGTATTAGGATAACATGGAGATGAAGCCTCCATCAATCAAGATGTAATATCCCACCCAGGGGCGGACTGACAACTCATGGGGCTCCTGGTCAATAGGGGATCATGGGGCCCCTGTGTCCTTGCCCACACTCAAAGCACACCCAAAAAAGCTTATAAAAAAGGTACCAGGGGCATTTCATGGGGCCCCCTACTGACCCCGGGCCCTCGGGCAGTGCCCGAGTACTCAAATGGTCAGTCCGCCCTTGATCCCACCCCTATTGTGTTTAGCTGGTTAGTGGGAGGGAGTGGCTGTCATTTACCACTGTGTATACACCCATATGTGTGCCTCTATAGTCACATGGGCTGCTCAGATGTGATAGGGATGACACACTGAAAACAGTATCTGCAGTAGCTGCCAACACTGCTCTGAAAAATCCCCAACTGCATTGGGGACATGGACATAATTGGAAGATAGAGAACAGCAGGATCAACCAGGTTTTTTGCAAAATGCAGAAAACGAATTCCATAATGAATAAGTGAGTATGAACAGCATGTAAAACAGCATTTATTAATACTTTTTTATGATATGGGTTTAGTGACACATTAATCTCAACTGTGTTTTTTATTTTACACTATATAAGCAAAAAATATTAAATGTTTTGAAAAAAATGTTTTTCTTTTTTTTCTATAAAATTTTGCAAAAAAATAATAATCTTTCTTCATATATTTTACTCCAAAATATACTATGCTACTTTCTTTGGAAAAATAACCCAAATCAGTATATATTATGTAGTCTGTGTGAAAGTTATAGTCTATAAACTATGGTACAGTCTATAAACTATGGTCAGAACAGTAAAAATACCCCTCAAATTACCCCTTTTTGGAAAGTAGACACCCCAAGGTATATAGAAAGAGGCATGGTGAGGTTTTTTTAAGTTGTATTTTTTGTCACTATTTTTTTGGGAAACGAAGAAATCAAATAGATTTTGTATTTTTTTTTTTTTGCAAAGTTGTTATGTTAACAGTTATTTTTTACATGCTGCATGGGCATACTTACAGTTACACCTCAAAACACATTCTACTATGCCTCCTGAGTATGGGGCTATCACATGTGTGATACGTTTTCACAGCCTAGATTTGGGTTTTCATAAATTATGCACAAATCACACATTTAATTTCCTGACTTCCAATCACATTTTTAAGGCTGTGAAACACCAGGATAGTGGAAACACCTACAAAATGACTCCATTTTGGAAAGCAAACACTCCAAGTAAGTTTCTGAAAGGCAAAGTGAATCTTTTGAAAATGTAATTTTTTCGCCACAAGTTTTTGGAAATGCAGGAAAAATGAAAGTGTATTTTTTTAAGTTAATAAGATATTTCTAACACACTTCATAGGCATAGTTAGAATGAAACCGCAAAACACATTCTACTACTCCCAAAGGTGTCCCTAGGGTTGGTGTCACCCGGTGTGGTAACACTTGGTGACACCCCCTCCGACGATCCCCGCAGAATAGATCGGATCTGTGGATTGAGCATAATGGATCGGACTCCGATCCATTATGCTCAATCCGCAGATCCGTTGCATCCTGCGGGGATCGTCGGCTTTCTTTACAACTTACCTTTTCTTGGAACGGGTCCCATGTCACTCCTTATAGGTTGCGTGCCGACGAGGATCGTCAACTTGCAACCTATACGGGGTGACACCGGACCCGCTCCAAGAAAAGGTGAGTTGTAAAGAAAGCCGGCGATCCCTGCAGGATGGATCGGATCCATCCTGCGGGGATCGTTTGCTTGCTTTACAACTTACCTTTTTGTGGAGTGGGTCTGGTGTCACCCTGTGCGGACCGCACCCCCCACACCTGCCTCGGGACGCCACTGACTACTTCTCTCATGTATGATGATACCGCATGTGTGAGACTTTTTCACAGACTAACCACATAGAGGGGCCCAAAATCCATCCATGTGTAACTCAGAGCAGCCCACCCCTACAACTGGTGGCACAGAGAGTCTACACCAGTCTATAGGGTTGATTTACTAAAGGCAAGGGAAATTGCACTTTACAGGGGAATTTTTCTCAGAGCTTATTGAATGAGGTGAAGCTCTGCTGACTTCCGTCATCCAATAATGTGCAAACAAAATGCTGCTTTTTATTCTACTTGCACGTGATTGGGTTTTCTTTGAAAGGTAAATTTCACCATATTCACTATGCGTTGGGGAAGATTTCCTTGAAAAGAGCAACTTCTCTTGTATAGTGAACAGCCTACTTGCCTTTAGTAAAATAAACCTCACTGTGGCTAATGTCAAACACTTTAATAAATATGGGAGTGTGTTTACTGGCAGGATAAACAGATTAACATATGATTGAGAAAAGAAGAAATAGTGTTTATTCAACAGAACACAGCAAAATGCTAAATGCAACTGGGAGTTCAGTATAATAGTAAGAGATATCATGGGCAACACAGAAGAATTAGCTGCTTTGTGGATGGGACTTTATGCATTATAAATGCATCAGTGACATCTTGCTAATCCTGTACTTACATCATTGAACCCTTAAGTACTGGCTTCCAGCTACCTTTAGCAAGCCAGCAAAAAGAGATGCATACCATTAGAGGTAATGCATCCATTTGCAGGGTTAAGAAAAAACGATGTTTAAAATCCTCATGAATAAATTATGCATTATCCTGGTCATTTTCATAAGGAGTTATACCTCGCAATAATTCAAGGCCTGGCATGTATGAAGGGTTTTCTTTCTTGCTTGTTTCATTGCTGAATACATACTATTATTTTACTCTATTACGTTTACAGTATTTATGCATTTTAATATGTTTTATTCATAGGCAGGCGCTTAATTGCATTTAATAGCATACGATCTGTGTAAAAGTAACGAATGCTACATAAATGCTTAATTTGAGCATTGTTAAAGGCTGCATTGAAATCAATGCAATAAAGTAAATGTTTAATTCCTGTAGTGGGAGTGTTAAAGCAGCACACATCTTCTTTAGGTCTTGCTGCAGTTATGTCTGTTCAGTATATATTAGCCTTTTGCACAGGCATGTATAGTTGTATAAATTGTAGAACGATTGGGGAGTCTGCATTGGCCCCTAATTCACCCCCATCCACCAGTACTTCTTCTATGACCCAAATAAGGAAAATACCACACTACTGGTGGGTCAGACATGTGGCCCTTTGTAACCAAGGTCCTGGGTTTACAGCCCAATTGGATTTTCATTTAAAATCTACTAAATACATTCCAACTGCAAGGAAACTAGAGGTTAGCAAAGACTGAAATAGTGCCCTCTACTTTAGGCAGAATTTTTCGTCTGGTTGTCAGAGGCTTGTTAGAAGCATGGGATGAGTCAGCCTGGGAGTGAGGCAGTGAGGTTACCTCAGGACAGGCTGTGAGGCTCTGCAGGTCAAGGCTTCTGGAGCCCTCCCACCCAGGGGCGGACTGACCATTTGGAAACTCGGGCACTGCCCGAGGGCCCGGGGTAAGTAGGGGGCCCCATGAGATGCCCCTAGTACCTTTTTCATAGGCATTTTTGAGTTTGGGCAAGGACACAGGGGCCCTATGATCCCCTATTGCCCGGGGGCCCCATGACTTGTCAGTCCGCCCCTGCTCCCACCCTTCTAGAAACTGCTGGAAGAAGGGTGGAGGAGGCCTGGATTTGCTTGTTTGAGGGAACTTGGCCAATCCCCAGGCAGGAGGCCTGGCATGGTGACTAGGACAGCCCTTAAATATGAGAGAGCCTGAATAGCAGGGGAGTCAAGTGGAAGATGGAGTGAAGGAAGGTGCTGGTGTGTAGAGCGTGGGAGGGGGCACCAGCAGAGGGTGCCTACCTACAGGCTGAATATGGACAGAAGAATCTCCACTGTCCCACAGTCTATTAGGAAGGACAGCCTGTCAGCAGGGAGGAGCCAACCCAGTGTAAGACCTAAAAGCAGCTGCAACCCATTAAGCTACAGGAAAAGGACAGTGTAAGTATTTCTACACCCCCTGGGCCAAAGAAAGGACAGGGCATTCAGGTACAATACCCAACTAGTTCTCACTGGGACTACTTCACTGTAGATCTTGGAATCCCTTGCTCAGGGACACCCTCAAGATGGCAGGGGGTGGATTAGAAGAGTTTCATCTGGGGTCTGAAGAAGTTCACCAAAGGGGTGCTCCTTACTAAGACTGTTAATTTTTTTGTACATTTTTGCTAAGAAGTTGTCCTCTGAAGTTGTACAGTTCCTTGGCATCCCATATACCCCTAGACCAAGATCCAAGTTGTTAACCCCTAAAAAAACAACAAAACCAAGCTCAAGGACTATTTTACTGACTCTGGGAGAAAGTGTGGAAAATGAGTGTTGCTTGGCTGTGCAGAGCTTAGGGGGGACCCAAAAAGAGGGTAGCGTTACACTTACAATATGTTTTCTTTAGAAGCAGCCATAGTCTGAGTAGAAAAGTCTGCCAGCATGCTGCAGATAAGCTTTTGCTCACTGTATGGAAGCAAATATCTCTGTGCAGAAGTCCAACATGCCCGCTGCTGAGTCAGAGCTAGAGCTTTCTAATCAGCAAGGAGCATGAGTTTATCTTATTGCAAGGTTATAGGTCTGACTCATCAGAGGGCATGTCGGACCTATGCAAAGAGCCCACTGGTTCCACACACAATACAAGAGTCTTTTTCTAGTGCATTCTGGCGGGGGCAGGATTTCTATTCAGGCTTTGACTACTTTTTAAAAAGAGACTAAACAATAATTTGTAGTTTCATTTCCATCAGAGCACAATGGAAGATCAATTGTTTCTTCATATATGCAGGGCTTGGTTTATACCTTCTGTCCCATTAGGCCAACTACACTGCATTCCCGTTACAAGGAATTATAGTTTCCAAATGTTTGATAGCATCAGAATCCCCAGCATGACCCATGCAATTTGTTACTGTAACACCCTCCTAGATAGGTGCCAGGACTAGTTAAATTTAGTGCTTGCTAACTGTGTTCAGCGGAGCTGTGTGTATTTTTATCTGGTAAATTTAGCAAGTCTTGTTTTTTAAGAAGCTGTGAGAACTTTCTGGATCATAGCTGTTGAGTTTTTGCAGATGGCAGCATGAATATTCATATAGCCCTGGCCAATCCCAGGGAGCTGAGTCCTGATGGCATGCTGGGTAACTGTATATATTCTGTGAACACACTGAGCTAGGTCTTTTCCAGTAGGAGAGGAACACAACCTAAGGGGAGCTGTTTGCTCCTCTTGGCTATCCTGCCATGTGCTTGCTATTCGAGAAGCCTCAGTGGGCAACCTGAGAGCTTGGATGCTGAAGCTACTGAGAGCTGACTGAGGGAGTGTCTGCTGAAGATTTAGTCTGGTATCACTGGAGGAAAGTGTCACTTGGAAGTTGGAAGGAGGCAACCAGCTGTCTCTGGACCTTTTGTAAGTACAGACTGCTGAGAGATCTTAGAGACTTGTGGGCTGCTGCCATCCCTCTGATGCTAGAGAGTCAGCTGTGTGTTTGCTAAAGGGGACATCGGCTGGTGTCCTGAAAAGCTTAGTCTGCTTAGTTCTCTGTGAAGGGACTCTTGTTTGCTCTAAAGAAGGAAGCCTGTGTGCTTTTACTGTTTCTACTACAACCAAGTCCACAGTTTGCTGTATGCAAGACTTTAGCTTCAGCAGCATCTCACTGTCCTCAATTTGTACATAGTTTCTGTTTTTGGAGTATCCCACTCAGTTCCTTCATCCCTATCCAAGTTCTCCAAAAATTAAAGCAACACCCCCTAGACTGCTTACTGAGGAAACGAGTGACTGTGTTTTTGTGCCTGGCTGTGGGTAAATCAACTTGGGAAGGACCTGGGAAAATTTCCAGTGGCTCCTATGGGAGTACACGCTACATTACAAAATGCTCTACTCCTGATCATCTCGCTAATTACACTCACCTTAACTTTGTCAATGATCTCTAGTTAGAGGACTTCTTATATTTCAGGTGGGTATACAGTATTTAAAAAGGCAGATGTGTGACCAGGAATGAGATATTGAGGTTGATTTACTAAAACTGGAGAGTGCAAAATCTGCCGCACCTCTGTGACCAATCAGCTTTCAGTTTTTTTGCCAAAGCTTAATTTAACAAGTTACTGTAGATACTGATTAGCTACCATGCACAGCTGAACCAGATTCTGAGTGCTCCAGTTTTAGTAAACTAACCCCATTGTGTACTTACTGGAGTGGGTCATGTTGGAGGGTCTGAAAGTCAGATTGCATGCTATCATTTAATTTTTATAAATCATTTATTATAATTGTATAACTTTATTTTCTTTACATAAATTTGTATCTCTATTACCTATGACTCTTGTGTTATGTATTCATACATTTTCTAGTGCAGTATATAGGAATTAAAATGAAAACAATTGGTTGATTGCTATGGTCAACAGGGACAATTTATGCTTTCATTTAGGAGGTCCACAGCTTTTACTAATAGCCATTGTCGAGTCATTTATTCCACAAACCTGAACTCTGTGACTCCTTCTTCAATGCTATTGCTTCTTTGCCCATGATATAAATACATTACATTTTCTTTCCTTTTACTGTGTTGAGTACACATTCAGCCTTGTATTTCCTTTTGGACCTGCTGTGAATCCTTTTTTTATTAATAAACAGGAAGGAAACAGAAAAACAGTGAAGGACTTTTATTCACCTGCTTGTCCTCAAGCATGTCAGCTTTACTCTTTGTTCTCTACATATTTTCTTCCCTGTCATAATATATTGTGTTGGTATAATCATCTTGCAGGTCTCCATCTTTGTGCACTGTAGTCAATAAGAAGCAGATAAAGAACACAAGATACATCGGGGAGAACTCAATAAAGCTCTACAAACACGTTTCTGGCAGTATGGCCCTTTAAAACAGCCTGCCCTAGATTTAAAAAAATCTCTGCTGTCTGTTTCAGTGGCTATACTGACATATCTGGCACATTCAGGTGGTTCCTAATAGTGCCACTCTTTTTCAAAGCTACAACATTCCAAGCTACATCGGTAATATCCCATATGGAAGAAACATATATTTGAAATATATTTTAAAAATAGTCTTCCCAAATATATTGCCATATATTTGAAATGCTACAATTTCGGCCATATTCAATATATTTCAAAATATATTTCAATAAATATATATATTCTGCATGTTGAAATGCATTTTTATTACAAAACATATGAAAAATCTTTTTAAAAATACATTTCAAATATACAGTATGTCTTTAAAAATACAAATCTACATTTTTGGAATGCATAAAATTACTTTTTTATATGTTAAAAAAATCTGAAGAATATATTTAAAATAAATATATATTTTTTTTAAATTATCTTTTTTTAAATATATTCTTCATATATATTCCTGAGTGATCTTGTCTATAAACTGTGAGATCTAAAAAAAAAAAAAATTGTTTAACCCTTTCGCTACCTGTGCTCCACTTTTAAACTCAGCTGGCCAGACCATTTTTGCATTTTTTTCCATTCTTTTTTATTTTTACTTTACAGCTTTCAGAGTTTGTAAAAAATAACCCCAAACCATATATTTTATGAAAGCACGTGACCAGTAGAATAAAAAAAGGTGCTACAGATTTTTAAGGCTCTGCAATATTTGCACAAATGTTTATCAAAGTAATATTTTCACTAAAAATACACTAAAATCATTGTTAGCAAGTAAAAACACAGGAACTGCAAAATATAAAAGTTTAAGCTGTGTTGAGTTAATAAATCACAAAGATTTGTCAATTTTACATTGTGCCTTTTTGCAAAATGGTGAAAATCGAACGGACGCAGAAATGTAAATAACCAAATCTCTCTAAAAATCTGAAGAGAGGAGGCAGAGGAGCGAAGCCAACAGCTACAGGGCAGTCACAGAGGGATCAGGGTTTGTGCGGGGGGAAGGGGGATCAGTCTTGGGGGGGTTTATTAGTGCAGGCAGGGTAAGGCAGTGTTAGGGACATTAGAAAGGGGTGGGGGGCATTTTAGAAGTCGTCAGGGACCAGAGACACAGCAGAGAAATGGCGGCAGGCGGGGGCGGGTCATATTTTAGGTTAATAGCTCTGATCAGCGGCATGTTAGCTGCTAATCAGAGCTATCCTTTTGTTCAGCAGAGTTTGCTGAACATTTCTGCTACAAGTTCATGGTCACTGGAGTGATCATGAGCTTTTAACAGAGGAGGAATGCAGGTCCATACGGTGTACGGACCTGGCCAGCTAGAAGCGGTGCTGTAGGTCTGTACAGTGAAAGGGTTAAAGATGAGAGTAATGTCACATTGCAAACGCACAAGTTCAGGTGTATGATGTTCACCTCATCTCGCACATATGCAGTACATTGCATTCAGCATTCACATTACAGCATTACACTCATTTGTTCAAAAAAAGGCTTCACAAGACCTCAGGGGAAGATATTGTTTTTCAGCAGATGGATTACAGCGCATGCGTGGAATAAGTTAAAAAGGTCATTTGTTGGCCGGCAGAGAACACAGCAGAAGAAGCCGGCCTCCAAGGATGTTTTTTTTTTAATGGTGGTGTGGGTTTTCACTCGGTGAGGGGAGCAGAGTGAAAAGAACATTAATTGTCTGGCGAAAAGGTCTCCTAAAGTGAGGTGGAGGAGTGATACTAATCTATATCTTTATTTCATAAGGTCGTGGCTCGTTGTGGATATTCTGTAACATATTCAATGTGTATCTATTTTTTAAATGAGATTTGAAAATTGATTGCAGAGTGAATGAAACTGCAATCACTGCTAAAAAGGATGAATAACTTAATAAAGACCGACAGCAAGGGACAAACTTTAATTTTTCTAAAATAGCATTTTTTTTTTTTAGTTTTTATTCCTGCTTTTTTATGATTTGATAAAAAAAAAGTCAGTGGGGATATACAAATCTTTTTTCATAGAATCCTTCCCCTTTTTTGTGAAATGATGGAATTGCCTAACCCTTCAGTAGTCCAGTTTACACAGTTAAATGATGTATTTTTTATAATATTTGTACGTATAGGTTTGCAGTAAATCCATCCTGCTGTGTTCAGCTGCTTATGTGACTCTGCTGATTGCTTTCTTTGTTTGTGCTGTAGATGTCAGATAAGTCATAAAACTGCCTGTATTAATACCCCAGTGCCTAATTTTACACATTTTCATGAAAGAAATTCCCGTTACAGTCATCCCCGCTGTCAGCCATTAGATGGGCACATCTGCCAAGTCTAATGACAAACGTACCTGACTACAGTAATATAGACATCAGTTGCAGGACATCAGCACTCTGCCCCCAGGGCATGCTAAACTCTGCATTACTGACTGTTTGTAGTTTGCTATGAGTCTGTGGAGTTGAAGTCATTACAGCTGAGGTTATCATAAGGTGAAATTCCTAAGTCAGCGTTCCATGTGGGACAATGGGGGGCTATTAACATGACCAGAGATAATGTGATTGCAGCAGTTTTTAATACAGAGATTAGTACAGATGTGCCATTTGCATGCACGGTCTATAGGAGATGTGATATCTGAGCATTTATATTGGGACAGAAGGTGCTTAACAAAGGTCCACAGGAGAGGTCTGAGTGAAGAAGAGGATGGAATATGTGTGGTGTGTAAGTACCTGATCTGCAGAACCAGAAGCGATATTTAAAGTATATTTAAACTTAGTCACTAAAACGTAATTTTTCAAAACATTTTCAAATCTGCAGATTTCTTTAAAACTGTACCTATTGATACTGTCATAAAGGTCTTTTTCAGGCATTACCTGTTATAGTGTGACAACACTCTGTCCTCGTCTCTCAATCAGGGGGTGGACTGACAACTCATGGGGCCCCCGGGCAATAGGGGATCATGGGGCCCCTGTGTCCTTGCCAAACTCAAAAAAGCCTATGAAAAAGGTACCAGGGGCATCTCATGGGGCCCCCTACTGACCGCGGGCCCTCGGGCAGTGCCGAGTTTCCAAATGGTCAGTCCGCCCCTGCTCCCAATTGTTCACCCTGCTGATGATGATGATTGAAACTATAAGAGGCCCTTACAACATATGTTATGCTGGCACGGTCCACTGTTGTCACCATCGGGAAACCCATCTTGAGAAATGCCGGGCAGCCATTCATGAAGTGCATGTATTTGGTATGGTAGATGGCTGCAAAGAATCTACAGAAGATCAACAGAACTGAGTTTCTCAAAAAGGTGAAAGAAAATATTTAATTTAATAAAGACAATTGTTTAGGATATGCAATGCTTTATCCAACTAAATGTCATTCAGGTAGGGTTTACACCTACTTCAAAATGCTAAAGGGAAACTATCATAGTAAAAAAGGCATACTTTGTATTAGTTTTCCTGTCAATTATTATTGGGTATTATTATTATTAATAATAATCTAAAGGATTTATAAAGTCGCAATAGTTTTTGCAGTGCTTTACAAAATGAAGGCAGACAGTACAGTTACATTATAATTCAATACAAGAGGGATCAGGGGGCCCTGCTTGCTTTGCAAGCCATTGATGATGCGGTTATCTTTCCTGCAACTGTAGGTTGCAAGAAAGTAAATAGTTTGATTCCCCCATCAACACAGTCAGTGTTGATGTGGGAAATCCCTCCCGCAGTGTTATTGTGTTCTGTCAGTGAGGAGCCTTCCCTGTTGGCAGAGCACAATGATTATTGCCGGTGTACAAAATGTCTGACAGGTTGGTTGTATTGAAGTTGATCAATGGTACGACTTCATTAGAGCCAGGTTACTCATAGATTAATCGAATCTCAGCTGGTCCCTGCTGAACCAGCTGAGATTTGATCCATCTATGGCTGGCTTTAGAGTTTACAGTCTAAATGGTATGTAGATTTCTACCAGCTCTTCAGGTAGACAACCTGGCCCTGCTCTGTTCCTTTCACTTTTCTCACCTCATTTACATAATCTATGACTATGAAGGGTAGTTTTCACTGGCCAATAATGAGGAAAAGAAGGCAAGAGAAATCAAGCTTTAGATTTGCTTGAAAATGACCGTATTGTGCAACACTCAAACACCTTGCAATGCTCAAAAAGGCTCTCCAAATTGACTTCTGAAACTCAAACAAGTAGAGGAGAAAAATATCTACACATCATACAAACAGCTTAGTGGGCTTTTCAATTAAAGTTGGCTATTATTGATTATGGTAATAACCAAGGTAAACACAGAGGGAAGACTGGAGACCAAAGCACATTGTCTTCACTGGTCGTAGTTTTAACTTTTTTAAGTTTACATTTTTCTCATCTTCATAGGTCCTAAAAATTTTGTAAGCTCCAGGAATTGTGCATACAAATGTCTCTCTCTGCAAAGAGGTCACATATGATAAACATAATCACTTCTATTTAATCTAAAACCTAAAATGAGAGTTCCATGAAATAGTGCCAGAAAAGCTGGTAGGTGTAAGTGTACAGAGGTACAGTCATGGTAAAAAATATTGGCACCCCTGCATATCTGTCAGATAATGCCCCACTTTGCCCAAACAATTGTTGCAATTACAAATGTTTAGGTATTCTCATGTTTATCTCATTTGTTTGTATTGGCATGACACAGAAAAAAAGTGGAGAAACAAAAAGCCAAAACTAACACATATTCCACGCAAAGCCCCAAAAATTTTCTGGACAAAATTATTTGCACCCTCAATTTAATATTTGGTAGCACACCCCTTGGAAAAAATAACTGAGATCAATCTCTCCATGTAACCATCACTGAGTTTCTTACACCTCTCTACTAGAATTTTGGACCACTCTCCTTTCACCAACTGCTCCAGGTCTCTCAGATTAGAAGGGTTCATTTTCCCAACTGCTGTTTTGAGATCTCTCCACAGGTGCTCTATAGCATTGAGATTTGGACTCATTGCTGGTCAGTTCTGTACTCTCCATCGCTTTGTCTTAAACTATTTCTGGGTGCTTTTTGATGTGTGCTTTGGGTCATTGACCTGCTGTAAGACCCATGACCTCTGACGGAGACCCAACTTTCAGACACTGGGCCCTACATTGCACACCAGAATTCTATGGTAGTCTTCAGATTTCATAATGCCATGCAAACAGTCAAGACCTCCAGTGCCCGAAGCAGAAAAGCAACCCCAAAACATCAGTGAACCTCCACCATGTTTGACTGTAGGGACTGTATTCTTTTCTTTAAAGACCTCATTTCTTTTTCTGAAAACAGTAGAATGATGGGCTTTACCAATAAGCTGTAATTTTGTTTTGTCTGTCCACAGCACATTTTCCTAAAAGGATTTTGGTTTCCTTAGGTAAGTTTTGGCAAACTCCAATCTGGCTTTTTTATGTTTCTGTGTCAGCAGTGGGGTCCTCCTGGGTCTCCTACCATAGCGTCCCTGTACATTCAGATTGTGACATATAGTGAGAGCTGTACCCTGTGCCTGAAGGTCAGCTTAAATTTGTATGAAAGTCGATCAAGTTTTTTTATCAACCATTCGAACAATCCTTCATTGCAATCTTTGATCAATTTTTTCTCTTTTGTCCATGTCCAGGGAGATTAGCTACAGTGCAATGGACTGTAAACTTCTTGACAATGTTGCGCACAGTGGACACAGGAACATTAAGATCTGTTAATTGTTACAGGTGAGTTTAAGTACAAATTACAGGAGCATCACAAACTTGGAATGCAATTATTTCTTACAATTTTGAGAAGGTGACAATAGTTTTGTCCAGTCCATTTTTGTAGTTTTGCGTGAATGTGTCAGATTTGGCTTTTTGTTTCTCATCTTTTTTGTGTCATACCAATACAAACAAAAGAAATAAACTTGAGAATGCCTAAACATTTTTAATTGCAACAATTTTCTGAACAAAGTGGTGCATTATCTGACAGAAATACAGGGGAGCCAATATTTTTGGCTATGACTTTTCTTATCCACATGCTGTCCTTTGTGGAAACACATCTGTCCTAAAACAAGATCCCAGAGATACCATCAGCTCAGGTCTATGTGCTTTCTACTTTTCGTCTATTTTCTGAATAGAGGTAGTTGCTACAGATGGTGTCCTCATAGACTTCTACTACAGTGACTAATTCTGATTCATAAAATAGAATAGAACTAGAAGCAGAAAGCACACAGACATAAAATATTGAGCTAACACATCTCAAACAAACAGATAAACAAACAACACCACTTTTGACTGACATGAAGGCCATTGCAAATTTAAAAGTAATCTACCCTGCCCAAGGCAAAGTAATGGGTTCACTTTAAGCTACAACATAAAGTCTAAACCTTATGCATGAGTGAGAGAGTTATTACTCAAGCATATTTAATTTAAGAGGTCTACAAAACACATCTAAGGTTTTTATGTACCATAAGGAAATAAAACAAAGACATTGCGATTACCATAAAAGCCATATCCATTAATATATAAATATGCACGTCTATTAGAAACCATATGTTGCTCTCTAATCAGGTTGCTCTTCTGAAACTCTTGAAAATACAATTTTACAAAGACAAAGGAGGCAGCTTTTATACATATTCTCTGCTAAAACAGGTTACTAGTATCAACACATTTGGTCACTGAAACTTCTAGAAGAAGAATTGCTTGGCACCAAACTGATTTTATTAATTTATTCATTACAGGTACTTATATAGCGCCATCAATTTGCGCAGCACTTTACATATATATTGTACATTCACATCAGTCCCTAACCCTCAAGGGGCGTACAATCTAAGGTCCCTTACTCACATTCATACATACACATACTAGGGCCAATTTAGACAGGAACCAATTAACCTACCAGCATGTCTTTGTGTGTGGGAGGAAACCGGAGTATCTGGAAGAAACCCATGCAAGCACAGGGAGAACATGTAAACTCCAGACAGGTAGTGCCGTGGTTCCACCAAATTTCCACTCTTCAGGTCCCTGTATGATTTTACCAATTTTCTCTGAAGCAGTAATTCATAATTCGTTCACTCTACCTGATTAAGTTTTATACATTCAATTCTTTATTGATTCTCATTTTGCTTTTCCCTGTTATTAACTTCTTTTTTTATTCTATTATTTTTACATAGTCTCTATTCACTATTTTGGACAATTGCCCCGGAAATTAGCACCTGGAGCCCAGTGATGTAGACACTTGGTGCTAATGCTGGGTTCTGGCCAAGTGTGTGCCAAAAGCTCCATTCATGGTTGGAACTATGTCCTGGCTACTGACATCAGAGCAATACAGAAATGTATACTATAAAAAATACAGAACATTGGATTATTTAGCACTGGCAGAATCAGGCAGAAAATGCTATACCACAGCCACCAGTCACAAATTATCCTATAGCAGTGTATGATGATGAACAGCCTAGTGCATCCAGGTGTATGAGAACAACAGTTTCAGAAACACTATTTCCAAGTGCCCCAAGAGCCCTAAGACATACCACAGCAGAAGTCATTTGCTTTCAGATTGTGTCTTTTCAAATGAAAATTCAGATAGAACTGTCTGCACAGACCAGAAGGAGTGATCAGTCACTGCTGCCACTATTTAGGTCTGTGTACATACACAGATCAGCATTTGCTATTGAGTTCTGCAAGCATCTGTTTTCTTCAGCAAAAAAAAAACAAATAAGTCAAGCCTGCAAAACACTGGAAAAGATGTCTAAAGCTCCACCTGCTGATTAAAAACTAAATGCTAACTATTTATATGCAATATTTTATTTTTTTTGCTCTGGCAGTAATTTACAACTACTGAAAAAAAAATTAAATAAAACCCACATTTACAGCAGATCTGTATTCCTTAGTACATCATTAACCTATTACCCCCTGCCCCGGCGCACTTTAACTGGACTTGTATGCCTGGAGGGTGGGATGGTCTGTCTTATCATGTGACCACAGTGACTGCTTGCCACAATGGTCACATTATCGAGAGGTAGTCCCACCAGCTCCCAATCAGCACAGACCGAGAGCTGTCTTTGGGAGCACACAGTGAGCACACTCTTAGCACAGAAATCTCTGCCGCCCATAGATGCATAGATGTGGAGTGTGGGCATTCAAAGGCCACTCTATTTGGCGTCACACGTATGCGTTACATGGGCAGCAAAGGGTTACATTAATTTCTA